TATTCTACTTCATTTTTAACTGAAGTTGATCTTGCATCTGACCCAAACATTATTGAAAAAAGCTTCATCTGATCCTCTTCTTGCTCTTCATTTGGTAAGTTTATGATCGATTCATTTTCAGTACTAAATAAATTGTACTTTTCTTGAAGAAGACTAATAGCTTTATTACGTTTTCAACTATTTAATTGCTTCATTGCCTTACACCAAGGATCAAGTAACATTGCAATTAATGAACTATCAATCAGTACATCCCAATAATAATTTAATGCCATATGTAATTTCTCTTTAATATTTTCTATTAAGCCATCTGTATTCTGGGGTTGGCTAAGTTTAAAATTACTTCCATCAGCAGTGATAATTATTTCAGATTCATCATCCAAACTAACTATATTCTCATCATCATCATCATCAAATATAGTTGATATATTTATAAAATCGATTTCTTCAGAATTCATACTTTCTACCAATGGAGTACAACTTCTAGTAAGTGTAATAATAGCTGGCCACATGAAGCTAATTGTAGTATAACTGCTACTTCAGTGATTTCAGCAAAAGGAGCCAAGAGAGCAGTTAATTCTTCAAGAACAATCCATTTATCTTCAGTAATCATAATAGACCTTAGTCAATTTGCATTTTTGCGAACTTTAGAATCAGAGTCAGCACTCATAGTTGCTTCTATTAACTTAATAGCACGCTTAATTTGAAGAAGCCTTTTCCATGTGATATAAGAGGAATTCCAGCGAGTTGAGGTATCAGAAATTGCACTAAGATATAATTTTTCATCATTACTAATCTTTTCTTTTGAAATTTTTAACACTTCTTGGGCTTTTTTTAATTGCTTATTTTGCTTTGGAGTAGTTAAAAAATTAATTAATCATTTTGCACATTTTACTAAAATTGTTGCAGGTTTTAATCCTTTCCCAATAACAAGCTGAAGTATATGGGCAGTACAGAGAATTCGGTCTACCGAATTCATAAAGCCAATTGCTTTAACCATGTTGGTGGCATTGTCTGTTGTAATTGAAGCCACTTTACCAGAAAGCTCCCAACTATTAATTACACCTTTTAATTCATTTTTAAATATTAAAGCATTATGAGGATATAGAACATACTTAATTGCAAATATAATTTCGTTCAATTTATAATTAGAATCAACAAAGTAACATATAATTCCTATATACCCACTTTTTAAACAAGCAGTCCACAAGTCACAAGTTAAACTACATGTTTTAAGTTCTGTTTTAAAGAGAGCTTTAAGACGTTCTACTGAATAATTGTAGCTTTGATGAATTCTTGCTTTGATTTGTTTATTGGAAGGAAGTTCATAATATGAATTTAATGTATTAATAAGTTTAATAAAACTTTTACTTTGCAGAACATGAAGAGGTTGTGAATTTGTAATAATCCAGGTGACCAAAGCATGTTCAATAGATTCATTTTGACGAGGATTTTGCTTAGCAGCACGCTGAAACATTTCACCAATCGTTAGTTGTATAGCTATGTTGTTTTTTTCAATAGGTTTAGTAATTCCATATGTGTTTAAATGCGATTGGAAGTTACTAGTAGAGCCTTGAGTCTTAACTAATTGCCCACATTTCTGCTCACCATTTGGAGATTTTTTGTCTTTTATAATAACTTTACAATTTCTACAGGTTTTCCACTTTCATGATGGAGGCTTTTTATGAAAGTAGTGCCAAACCCAACTTTCATTTTTTCTGGATTTTGGTTTAGCACTCAATTTATTATCATATTCTGTATCACTATTAGAGTTTATACTAATGTTATTGTCGCTTAATGTTTCATCACTAGAAGTATTAACATTAATAATGCCTTCCGAATCAGCATTAGCATCAGAATCTGCTATCAGATTAGAATTATTTTGGTAATTATTTTTTCATTTTTTAATTTTTGACATTTTTTTTTTCATATACAATTTTTAATTAAGAAAATTCTTTGAGAAAATTTTTTGATTTACTCAAAAGGTCTTTTATAAGATTTACTAAAAAAAAAACTAATCTATTTTTTTATAAAATATCATACGCTATTTAGAATTCTTTATTAAACTATTTATTTTTAATTTAAACTTTTCTTTTTTTTATACATATTCATGTGCCTTTGAATATTCTTGATATTGAATTGTCAATATCCACACGTAGAGTTAATATTCTATTATTCTATAGTTTTTGGGATAAATATTTCATTGCGCCTTTTTTTTTAATACATATTTAATTAGCTTGCCTTCTTGGTATTTAACATTTCATATGATATCTTTAAATTCTGAATTATAGAAGCTTTGATTACGATTACATTGTTGCGTAAAAGTCTAATATATAGTTTACTGTATAAAATATCCAAATCATACTTTTAGAATTAAATACCCGAAGTAATTGAAACGGGTATTGCATCTTGGAATATATTAATTAATAAATTAATATAGTTATGCCTCAGGCATTAATCAAGAATTAAGCTTATATGAAGGGCGAAAAAGCATTTAGACTATATATTACTTAAATAAGTATTTTTATTGTGCTTAGTATTTATTTAATTAATATACCACTTTGGAATTTCATAGTTTTGAGATTGAACATTTAGAATTTTAGAATTTATCATTTTTATATAGCGATTGAGCTTGAAAAAAAAAACCTCACGAATTTAGACTTTTATTTGTGTTATTCGTAACTTTATTTTTTCTCCAAGCTATATCCCTATTGGTTTCAAGAACTGTTAAAATATGAAGCATGTGAAAATATACAATATATAATCACAGGCTAAATATGTTATGAAATAAAATTGGTCTTTGATTAAATTACTTCTTTCATCAATTTATCGATAAGCATAATTTGAGTCTAAACATTTTAAAAAAGGCTTGCTTCAGCCCAAGATATTATATTACTAAAGGTGAAAAAATTATTATTGAGGCTTGGGTGTTGCAGTAAATATACGTGAATATACGTACGTATGATATTTGATATTAACAGTTAATCTAATTTATGAATTATTGCTGTATTGTTATTATTACTATATCTGGATAAAAATCAGATTTGCAACAGTTTAAAATTAAAATCCGGATTTAATATCCTCTTTACAAAAAAAGTATCTGTTATCCTTTCTTCATCCAGATTTATCCAGATTTTGTAATCCAGATCCAAATACTATGTTCAGATTATCCAAAACAAATATCATAACTTTCATAAGATTATGATATTCACTTGCAGTAATTCCAGCAAGTGATTGAATTCTATTTTTAAAAATCTTTAGACCTGAAAATCTTAGTATATTAGCTAATCTATTATCAATTGTATCCAAGATAGATGCACTATATTTATCTTTTAAAAAGCCAGAGGTGAAAATAATTTGGTATTTAAATAATTCCAAATCTAAATGATGCATTCTATCAATTATAGTTGCTTCATAAATATTTATATCACTAAAATTAAATAAAAGTATAAAGAATCATATTTAATAAATTTTTGTATAGAAATATTTTTAATTAATTCGAAATATTTTAAAACAATTTGTAAAGATACAAACTAAATAAAATATGTTAATTATTGTATAGTAAATTTTGTATGGATTCAAAATATATTTAATATATATTGAATTAATTTAAATAATTTGCAACTAATCAGGTTTAAAAATAATTCGTAACTATTTAATTTAATTCAAAATAATTCAAATAGAAGTGATTTATTTTAAAATGATTCAAATTGTTGCAAATTATATTGAAATAATTTGAATAGATACAAATTATTTCAAAATACATTTAGTTGCAAATTATTTTGAAATTTAAATTGTTATATATTATTAAGAAATAATTCAAATTGTTGTGAATTATTTCAAAATTCAAATTGTTACAAATTATTCCAAAATTTGAATAGTTGCGAATTATTTAGAAATAATTCAATCTATTCAAATTTTAAAATAAATCACAATCATTCGATTTATTTAAAAATTAATTTGCAACAATTCGAATTACATTAAATTAATTCGCTTTTATTAAAATTATTTATTAATAATTCGAACTATTTGAATTATTTTAATTTACGGTAACATTTTTTAGTACTTTTAAATAATTAAGTATTTCGATTATTTTTAAAATATTTCATATTATACTGTATTTTCGCGTAATAATGCCCATTTGCACGTTATTTTGAGTATATATGCGTTATTTAGAGCACGCACATGGCGTTATTTTGAGATAACAATTAATTTTTTACTAAATTCAATTTTCTAAATAACGTGCATGTGCGTTATTTGAAACAAATATAAGGCCAATTTTTTTAATCAAAGCCTATGTGAATTGTACATATATATGTATAAAATAATTATTAATTTCACTGCATTTCTTATTTACAACATACACATATACAACTCTATAGTAATAGACTAACTTTCTTGTGAAATCACATAAAATTATTGCTTTACATGTAAAAGTCTGCCAATAAAATTATACTTGCGGTATGTAGTAAACTATATTGTCTCAATACGGTGTACCCAGGTACAAAATTGAGTAATTAAAATACCCTAGTCTAGTTTGATTTAATTAGTTGACCAACCGGAAGTACCTGTGTCTACTTATATCGCTTAATTCATAATATAACCATACACTTCTTGAAATTTTCAATATCAATCCATTTCTGATAAAAATATTTAAATCACTTAAAAATGTTTAAAATATGAGTTGTTCTATTACTATGTTATTATACTTACAACCTACTAACAATGTTTAGTAAATTCAATTGTAAATTTTTATATGACAATAATATTTATTTTTTTATTTAAATGCTGTCTTGTATCATATCAGTTTTTTAAGCTCATATAATGTTAATTAGAAGTTTATCAATTTTGATTTTATTTTATAAAAAAATTGTACTTAAATTTTAGCACTTTACTTCCATGAAAGGTCAGTTTGCTTGGATTCAACAGATTATAAAGCATAAAGTATAATGACTATTTCATTTATAAAAAAGGTTTAATTAGGGTTAAATACCTATGTACATATGTACTATTTTTTACCTTCAGAACTTAGTTCACCTCAATGTGCGACTAATAGGGTATTTCTAGAACAATGCACCTACTCAATCCTTTGTTGTAGCCATGCATTGATACTCTCACAAGGTATGTACATATATATATATATATATATATACACATCTTTTTGAAACATATAGTACATATTTTCAATAAAAAAAAAAAAAAAAACCAGGAACAGATATTTTAATCTCAATTAGATAACGTTAATTCTGTAAACCAGTTTTTTCTTGACGTAATCACAAACACACTTTTACTAATACATATGTACACATTAATACTACAAAAAAATGGGTTTTTAGCTTATGTACTTTAAAATTGTATTTAATAACTGTATTTTAAAATCTGGTATATTTTTTTAGAGGATGTTTTAATTTGTACTTACAATGCTGCCTTCAAAATATTAACATCATTGCTAATAATCCATTTTTACAAAAAAAAAATGAAGCAACTTACCATATCACGAACAGATACAAAGAATCACTTAAAGACTTAACTAAATCATTAAAAATTGAACCAAATAATGTAACATTATAACGTTGAAAAATCATAAATAGTTTGCGATGCTGGTACAGTACATAGTAATTTTTTTTGTATCACAAATATGTATAATATAAAAATATAATGTTATCTTATTAGTCTTGTGTACAAGTTGTTTACACTATTTGCAAGTGAACATGAGCACCAAGCAAAGTTTTACCATCAAGTTCAAACTTGAAGTAATCTTGTATGCAGAAACCACCTCAAATCGTAAGGCTTCTCTATACTATAAAGTTGATCAAAGGCGTGTTCAAGAGTTGCGCAAGCAGAAACAAGAGTTTGAAAGTATTAGAAATAATAAAGATTTGAATATAACACAAATGTGGTTTCTTGAAGGTCACGGTCGTAAGGTGGCATACCCTATGCTAGAAAAGGAATTGATAGAGTTTGTCAAAAAGAGGAGGGAGGAAAAAGGAACAATAACAACATTGATGATTATCAAAGAAGTCAGAAGTTTAAGTGAAACCATGGATATTAGGAATATGAAATTTTCCTGTGGTTGGGCCGAATGGTTTAAACAACAAAATAAGTTAGTAAAACATGCTCAAACACAAGTAGCTCAGAAAATCCCTGAGGATATGTCTGTGGTCATCAAAAATTTTCTTAAAATATCACGTGAAAAAATGCATGCTATTGAAAAAAATATATTTTATCATTTGATGAAACTCTTATGTGGTTCGATATGCAACAGGATTCGACAATTGAATTCAAAAGTACTCATGAAGTGTCAGTCAAGACTATGGGCAATGACAAATTATGATTTACAGTAGTTTTAGGTTACATGGTGGCCGGAGAAAAATCTTCCATCTTTAGTAATCTTCAAGTTAAAAAAAAGCCAAAAGGCAGGTTACCACGAGACGTTGTAGTAATACCAGCACCATCTGCATGCATGACTGGAAATTTAATGATTTTCACATATATTTCCCAAATAATTAGAGCTAGACCAAATGGATTTTTTAAAAACAAAGGTATAATTTTTGTAGATGCACATCATAGCCATAATCATGATGATATAACTAGAGCATTGAAGGCAGAAGGCTTAGATGTGTTCAAAATACCTGGGGTACTACCAGTGTTTTACAACCACTGGACATCTCCGTTAACTAGCTCTTTAAAAATGGTATTATATTTAAATATATATCAGAGTATAGTGTACAAAATTTTAAAATTATTCACATAAATTATATGTACATTGTGCACAAGATTCACATATTTTTAGGATCAGATTTTTTATCTGATTCGAACTTTAGTCATCACCTGTTTTAAATCGGTGAAAAAATGTTTAAAACTGGTTTTTTTTTACCATTCCTAGTTATGAGAAGTAAATAGAAAGAATGGATGAATAAAAAAAAAAAATATATATCAAGAAAGGAAATTGAAAAAAAGTGTCGTATAAGCTTGTGTGCGAATGAGTGTCCCAAATATAGAAAAAGATCAGCCCAAATCTTTTAATTAAATCTTTTGAAGCCACTGGGCTCACACTTAATCCAGATGGTAGTAAAGATGATAAAATGTCAAGCTGCCTCAAGGCTATTGCTAAAAATCGTTTGAATAAACTGTCAATTGAAAATACACAGGCAGAAGAGCCAAATAATGATAATGGTAGGGTTGTTAAACTACTATAATTTTATGTAAGTTTTTAGTAACAGTTTTTTGTAAGTTTGTAAAATGTAATTTTCAGCTATAGATAATGGTGAGCTTGATGATGATGAGCCGTATAATAATGAGCTGGATGGTGATAAAATGGATAATAAACCGGATAGTAGTAAAATAGATGATGAGCCAAATGATAGTGAATTGGAATATTTGGACAAAAATATTATAGACATAGATAGCTATGATATTATGAATATAGATGTCTATAATATTATGGATATAAATAGTTATGAAGAAATGCAGGCAATCAAAATTGATTAATAATAATAACTGATCAATGAACGAATAAATTTTTCCAAATAATATCATAACTACTTATTGGTATTTTTTTTTATACCTATTATTTTTGAACATAAATAATTTGTATGTGATGAAAAAATATGAAGAATCACTTGCAGACTTTATAGAGTATGATGAAAAAATATGAAGAATCATTTGATACCCTAATAAATAAAGGTATGTAATTATATTCTAATATTTTAACATTTTAACAATATAACTTAAATTATTTATCTGAAATTTCTAAATTCAAAAATTATCCTAATAGTATGAGTGTTTTATATTAAAATTCGCAGGATAATTTTTCTGACAAACTAAATCTATCGGCAAGTAAAATTGGAGTAGAAATATACTTGCTGCCCAAATCCCAAACTATTATAGTTTTATTTCATCCACGCCCAAATTCAAAACTCTGGCCAACCTAATATTTCAAAAACATTATTAATAATCTTTTTTAAATAGATGATATATATTTTCATAGCAATGTATAATATATTTGCAAAATATCAAAATTATTTAGCAATTGTATTTTTGGGTTTGGGTTTTGTCCAGGTTTTGCTAGCAAAAACAGGTAGAAAAGGATAAACATATCATAAGGTATATCATATTTGCCAAAAAAAAAAAAATTGAATTGAAAAGGTATTGATTAAAAAGATGTATTATATGTATTTCAAAACACCCCAAACTTAGGCTTATACATTAGATATAATACATAACAGCATTTATTTGTTTAATATCAGAAATAAATTAAATAATTTAATTTAATTATCATATACATCTTTTACTATATTTTGTAAAATTATAATCCTTTCATCAAAAAATAAAGTCACAATATATATATAGTAAGCTATTTTAGAAGACTACAAACAAATTATATAGAACCTATTTATTTGTATAAAGAAGTAATTATATAAGCTTATTGCATTTTTGAACAATGCTAAAAACCAATTTCTGACTTATTTCAAGATTTGCAAGATTATTTACTAAATGGCTTCTTCATAACAAATAAAGCTTTGTATCAGGATTGTTTTTTTTTTTTTTTTTTTTTTTTTTTTTTATATTAAGGTGAGGCCTTGCTCATATCTTTATTTGGTAATTTATTAGAGTAATTATAATAAAAACCCCTTTGTACAAGACAAATAGTTATAAATTACATGCAAGAATAAGAGCTCAGACTAAAAGATTGGACTAGAAAAACCTAA